CGCATTTTTATCCTTAATTGTGAAGAGATATAGGTGTCTATGGGACACGATAAACGCTTAACACCAGGTGGACTGTGTGCTCGGTTGACACCCTAACTCTTAAAAAAATAATGTATGGTATTCGTCCGTCCTTTTTATATAAAACTTCTTTAGATGCGACATGAGCGTTGGGAACCAGATAAAGCAATATATACTTTGTATTGTGAGTTTCAAAATAGTACCACGAATACACGAAGCTTTATATCTTATTGTTCGTAGATACACTTGACCACTTTGCTGTTTGCACTTACTGCACCGTCGCATTCCGAGGGAGTTTTAAGAATGCTGCAACGATGTGTTGGAACAATCTGCCACCGCCACTTTGTGTTCTGAAGGGAATTGAATTGCTTAGAATGAAATACAAAATTTTATGTTAAATGATCACAATGTCATTTGTAATTAAGAAGCCACATCCTACCTTCATAGTTGTTTAAATGAAGGGTTTCCAAGACGTTAATGACGGTCTCCTATATATCCACCAATGTTTCAATCAACGTTTCCCACATTAAATATATGTTTAGGTATTTAATACAAACATAAATGTATTGTTATTTCTTAAATTTACACAAAATAAACATTTTATTAAAAGGACGTTACAAAAATACAATTCCACTAACTATTTTTATATTATATATAAAGCTTTTTCGCAATTGTGGCGTATGGCGCCGTGGCTTAGTTGGTTAAAGCGCCTGTCTAGTAAACAGGAGATCGCGAGTTCGAATCTCGCCGGGGCCTAAGAAAATAGACCTTTTATACTTAATGTTAAAGAAAAACAACATAAGTCCGTTTTACGCTTTCTATTTAATCGAACGTGTTTTTGTGACATAATACACCTATGGATAAAAAAGTCTTAGTAATTTGTCCCCAATTTTCCTTGGCATTGGAAAAAGGGAAAAATATTCGATTTAATTACATAATTATTAACAAGAAAAAGGGACACCTTAAATTGTACAACCTTATACTATAAAATACATAAAGCTGCTGTTATTTGGTATTTCTTATGCTGAGTGAGAGCCCCAAAGACAAATTTGACTGGTAAAATTGCATTCCATTTCAGCTTAGTCCTCAGAGATGATAACAAATCTGCATTTTGTTTCTAAGAGACACAGCATCCACTTATCATCAAGTGAACTGAATTCATCACACTATTTCGTCCCGTGTATCGTAAGAGGCGACTATAGAGTATGACAAAAAGCTCTTATGGTTTCCGATAGATGGCGTTATAACCATCTCTTTAGGGTAAAAATATCCAAATCGGTGACGGAAAACTACGTCAAAGGTGCGAGACGTCTGATACTGCAATCGTGAATCCGCCTGTCAAGCGTGACTATTAAAGTAAATCCTCGCGACAGAGGCATTGACCTATGTCTATCAGTAGAATATTATTGGCAGATGAAGAAAATGATAGGGTGTTGAAACACAAAGTGATTGAATACTAAAACAAACTTTCCAATGTTTATGCATGTAAATAATGTGCGTGGTAGAGCCACGCTATAGCTGCATCAGCTATACATAGCTGCAGCACGAATGGGACCGGGGCAGCACCAAGCGCTCATAGAATACCAGCGTGAAACAGCAGAATAATGCTCTGTTTCGTATGTTGAGTGTTAAGAACAGGAAATCCTTGATAATGGTAACATTTGTCTTATGCCTTATCAAGGTGACAACGCATCTGCATTTTGATTCTAAGTCGATAATAGATGTAGAATTATGAGCCATAGCATCCACTTACCATCAGGTGGACTATGTGCTCGTTTGTTACTCTTTTTCAATTTAAAAAGAAAACTAAGTATATTACAATAACTAATAAATGTTGGTACTTTTTACAATTAAAATAACTTTTGCCTTTGAACAGATTTAGAGTTAAAAAGGGATAGAGTCGGCGCTCAGAAAAAAAATTCTCTTCGCTCTTATAGTCTGATAGGGTGACAATCTGGAACAGAAACAGAAGCTTTTTTTTAAATATATTTTAAAATAGATTTTAAATAATACTTATTGAACGTCAATCCTTTTATTTAATTTACCACTGGTTACCGACACTACCGAAGAAAGATCAGACGCAGGACTAACGGCTTTATGTGCTTTCCGGGGAATATTACACCGCCAAATTCCTGACTCGGGGCTGGAATTGAGAACTTTTGAGAGAAAAATTCCAATAACTGATTTTTGACTCGACAGAATTCAAACCTGGGACCTCGTGAACAGCAGTCGCATTTGCGAATACTAGACCAACAATACTGTCAATCCATCAATTTCTTAATACATTAATTTCGAACATTAAGTATTATAGTAAAGTAAAGGCTTAATTAAAAGTAAAGTTACAGCCTATATACGTCCCACTGCTGGGCTCAGGCCTCCCCTCATTTCTGAGAGGGTTTTAGGGCAAGGAAGTGTCCGCCGCGCTGCCCAAATGCGTGTTGACGAACTTCACATGTCTTCGAAATATTTTTTTTTCTTATTCCTCAGACATGCAGGTTTCCTCACGATGTTTTCCTTCACCGCCGAGCACGTGGTAAATCAGCACTTAAAATTGCAATTAACAATTTCATTGGTGCCGGCGGGGATCGAACCCGGTTTACTCGCGTTCTGTTAAACTTACAGCGAGCGTTAACCACCCGCTCGCTGTAAGGCTTAATTAACATTGTCTTTAAAAATTCATTATATTTTCTAAAATTTTCATCACTGGCAACACACTGCAGTAATGATCACGGAGCAAGACAATGGTCCTAGTGGCGTTTTTATAAAATTATAGTGAAAAACAAACATACATTCCACCTGATAACTGCCTGGTTATCTATACACATAAGGTGTTCTACTGGTTATACAGAGTTATTTCTCAATGAGAATTTCTATATTTAAGATAAATATATTAATAATAATATACCGTTTGAAAATACGAGTACATAAAGCTTCCACTTTTATTTAAAATTACAACATATCTCCGTAGTCCTTTATATATACATACCTTCCGTAGTTTATTGAAATAATAATGTCCTAAAGACCGAATATCATTAATGACGGCCAGTTTCAGTGGAGACTAGGTATTTGTGCAAGACAGTACTATAGCGCATGAGTGTGTGTGTGTGTGTGTTAACACAGGTGCTCTCTCTATTCCATCATTCTTATTATCTGATGAGACGAAAATTCGACACCATCAACAAAGTAAGATTAGGCTCAGGATCAACAGCTTTACAAACTTCCTGACTTGGGCTGCTACTGATGATTTCTTGACAGAAAATAGTCAATTACCGATTTTGCCCCGACCCGGGATTCAAACACGGGGTCACATGAGCAGTTACGCTTACGACACAGTATTGACATATCACGCGTTGGAATAGGCAAACGTAAACGAGCTTTTGTTAAGCTAAGTCAGTAGTCAAAATAGTTAAAATAAACTCTACTGGGTCTCACTCGGGACACATAAACAACAGTGTGTTTGTCTTAACGCGTCACGCTTCACTGTATAGAAAAAATTACCGTGACTGAACGCTCTTAGTTGAGGTTTCTTTAGATAAAACTTGTTTAAGGTCACTTTGTAAATAGTTTTATTGCACGTTCCTGAACGGTTCCTAAGCTTGACAGTGTGGATTAGGTAATCATATTATAAAATGTATGCTTAAATGTGGGATCCGGTCGATTGCATATTTAATAGAGTAGATAAACTAGTTAGGTCACGACAACGTCATTGAGAGTGAGAATATTTTAATAACTTAACAATAATGAAGTCGAATATTGAAGCTTGACATTTAGCTGTTGAAAACAGCTAAATAGGTTTTCTTAACACATAACAGTATAACATCAATAAGAAAACATTTTGTACCTATTTAGTTGCAAATAAAGAATTTGAATTTGAATTTGAATTTAGTAGCAAACGTAAACAAGGATCTCAGATTATATTATATCACTAGCTTTCGCCCGCGACATTGCCCGGTTTGAGATTGAAAAACGATTTCATTTCAAAAAAATGGAAGCCCGTGTTCACCTGTTGTCAAGTGAATAAGCGGAAATTGCAGGTACGTTGTCAACCTTTTCAAAGATAAAGGCACTTTTTTGAAGGTCCCTAATCCTTAAGTCATATTGGTCCAGAAAAATCTCGGGTGATAACCGATTCCACAAAAAATTCGTAAGAGGAAGAAAACTTCTGGTAAATCGCACAGAGGTGGACCACCAAGCATCCACATGATGTGGATGGTATCACGAAATCTTTTAATGTATGATAGTGAAATGTTGGACTTAAAGGTCTCATGTATGTGGTACATGTATCTATCGAAAAAGAATGTGCCTTCACAATTTGCCATTTAAACCTATATTTCTTTTGGTTGACAATGGTCCAAGTAGCTCACTGCTCCGGACTCTGCCTACACCCACATGGATAACAAGCGTCAAGCTTTATTATGTTACGTTTTATGTTATGAAACGTTTTATGTCATTTAGCTGCTTCAGTCAAAATAGTGGCATTTATAATAATTCTCCCTAACACAGAGATGCCCAACCTGGTGTCGTTACACAACCTTAGTGTACTAAAGTTACGCAACAACAGAACTGAGACGCCTACTTCATCTCCAGCTTATTCAAAGCCATGACCATAAACTCAAAGGAATTTAGAACCTTTCAACCATTTTTTTTTTGGAAAAAATCAAATCATCTGCTTCTCCTTTGCTACGTAAATAAAAACACACCTACAAACATTCTTGCGCATTTATATTATTAAATTATTAAGTAGGTATATTCATATTCATTTTTATGTATTTAGTGTATTGAAATTCAAATCGTTTTAACGTTTCGTCATTTGCAAAGTAGACGTTATAAAATATACATTATTTTATTTCTCTCGTATTACTTTTAAAGAAAATTTTCTTAAACAGTCTTTTTAATTTTAGAATAACTTGAGGCGAATATTATTTTTAAATATTTTTAATTTTTTTATTGGGTGTGGTTATTGTTATTTTAAAGCAAACAAAATGTTTTTTTTTAACGTGTTGTTAACTTCATTTTACCTTCATGCTAGTATTGCGAATTACCTTGATGGATTGAATGGAACAGAACTAGTACTTACTTTTCTGGTAAGGATTTGTGATTTTCCTCTAATTAGAAATTATTTTACTTAACCCTAGATAAAGTTAAAATTTAAGATAAAGCAGCCTGTATATGTCCCTTTTCTTGCACAGGCCTCCTCTCATTTCTGAGAGGGTTTTAGACGAAGGTAGCGTAGACCGCGCTGCCACAGTTCGTGTTGGTGGTTTTCACATGTCTTCGAAATCCGAAATGTTTTTTTTTTAATTTCTCAGACACACAGGTTTCCTCACGATGTATTTCTTCACCGCTAAACTCGTGGTAAATCAATTCTTAAAACAACAATTAACGATTTCATTGGTGCCGGCGGAGATTAAACTCGAGTTGCTCGCGCACTCTAATATTACGCCTACACACTTCGCTCCTGAGCGACCACCACTCTTAGATATAAATTATTTAATATTACATTAATTTTGCATTATTTTTACTCCTTAATTTTTTTCTTTCTTATCAGCCTGCACAAAACTCACTATTAAGACTCTTTCGTTATATTACGAACTTGCCTAACTTGGCAAATTAAAAAAAAATCAAGGCCAAATTAATTATATATCTATTACAGTAGCTAAGACGACAGTAGTATGAACAGAAACTTTTTAATTTTATTTGGAAGCCATTAAAAGCGAATTAATATTAAATCTCTTTTTCTATCTCTTTCTTTATTTTTATTTTATTTGTATTATTCAGAACATCAACGGTGTTGAAACATTTCACTCAGAACTCTGGAGAGTATAGCAAGTTAGAAAATATTTATGTCCGTTATTGGTCCATTCTGATGATGACGGTGAATTTGTAGTATCACTTAAATATCCCTCTGTTCCAGGTACATCGACATGGTGATAGGTCACCTTTGCAAGAGTACCAATACCTAAGCGATAAGCCTGAATTGCTTGAGAAAATTGTAGCACCATTCGGATACGGCCAACTGACTGACGTAAGATATTAAAAATACTAAGGAAATTGTAGCAACACTCCTAAAATTACTAGTATTCCTGTTGACTTACGTACTTAATTTACCTGAAATGCCAACCATATACATATATCGTAGTACCGACAATCGAAGGAAATTCTCGTGTAGCAACCTCTTACCAGTAAGCGAAGTTTAGGATGGTTTAGGATTAGTTGGAGTTACGAGCTTGCAATAATTGCATTAAGTTGATGGATGAAGATGACATTAGTTAGGGGAAGCCTTTGTTCTGCGTTGGAATTGTGAAGGGCTGTAATGATGACAATTAGTTATATGATATGATAATACGGGTATCTATGACTGACTAAAACTAATTATACGGATCTTAGCGCGTGTAATTTAACTTTTATTGATTCTTTACGTTTCGGGTCCTTTACAGCACCCATTGTCACTGGGGGGGGGGGGGGAGGAACTGAGACCTTTGACGTTCCGATGTCATAGCCCGCAGATCTACGCAGAACGAGCTTACAGTTCTTGCTGTAAAGTGTTCGAAGCGTCGGAAATTAAAAAAGTTTAATAATAATAATGTCCTCCAGACCGAATTTCAGCCACGGCGGCCTGCCTCAACGGAGGCTAGCCATCGGCGCAGGACATGATTATAGTGCCCAAGTGTATGCGCAAGCACAGGTGCACTCTCTATTCCCTCAATAAGTTTAAAATTAAACGTAAAATTAGTTTTATTCTATAGAGTCTTGTTAATATTTGCATGTAAATGGTTTTCAACTGTGTTCTCAACACTCGCAACATAATGAAAGATCAATGGTCATTATTCAAAACTTATTCAAAGTCACGAGTGTATTGTCATGATATATGACTGTCATTATTAGAATTTTGAAGGGGCCGTAATTTAAAAGTAGAACAATCCTACTCGCTATAAATGACGGAAACGCGGACAGTGTAAGTTATGCAATTTGCGAATGTCGTTTTGCTCCAGGCGGGAGCTGGCTCTATCGTTCCATAGGCAGTAGGACGTGACAATTTTATGAAACAAACTTTTTGAATCAAATTGAATTTTAATGTGCGCTATTCAAAAACTGAAAATATTTGAAATGATAGTGCTTTGTGGAGTAATTGTTGTGTTCCGTTTGTATATAACGCTATTTTTTGCTGGAGATCGGAAAACGGTATCATCAATTTTATGCATTTGACGGCTCCTTGAAGCAGTTGCAGCGCCGAGGGCCGCGGGTTCGAATCCGGAATAAATAATTTTTATGACTTAAATTGTTCCGTGTAGTGGCGGTTGAGAATATCCGCTACCCCATATCTTCCCGTGGGTGTCGTAAGAGGCGACAGAGGGAGACAGGCAGGAGATGGGCAGCAGCATCTTCCGGATAACAACAGTGATATAAAAAAAAAACTTCGGTTGCCAACCCGCTCGCCAGGCGTAGCAACTATGGCAAATATGAATAAAGACGCAAACAAACGACCCCCAGTCCCCGGCGGCCCTGCTATTCCTGACTACGGTAGCGACCATGGTAACGGCGGGGTAGGGGGTGCTAAGAATCTCCGATGGAGGTTCGCTTGCCACCTCCGACGACACGACCTGGCAACATAAATGCACGCATCCTGAGGACTGACGAAAAGATACTGGAGCTGGAAGAAGAGGTAGACAAGGATTATTCGAGGTCCGAAGAGAGGGGGAGGACACGGTAATGCTCGAGTCTGGCAACTTGTTCTATCACCGGGAGGGCGACCATCTGTCCCAAGGAGGTGTCGGATTTATCGTCCACAAGTCTCTCGTCAACAACGTTATAAAGATTGGGAGTTGTCGACGAGGGTCGCGTACCTGATACTCAGAATCACCAAACGGTATTCGCTGAAGGTCATAGAGGTTTACGCACCAACCTCGGCACATCGCGACTAGGAGGTGGAGGAAATGTATGAGGATATTTCCAGAGCCATGCATTCCTCCAAAACCCACTACACGGTGTTGATGGGAGACTTCAACGCAAAACTGGGCACAAGAGAAGGCGGTGAGCTGAAGTTAGGGAAATTTGGAGTAGGGCAACGGAGGCAACTCCGACTTTATGGAGAAAGAGGGACTCTTTATGATGAACTCTTTCTTCCAGAAGCGGCCCCACAGGAAGTGGACCTGGTCGAGCCCCGACGGTTCGACAAAAAATGAGATTGACTTCAATATGACGACCAGACGCAAACTGTTCAGTGATGTCTCAGTGATCATAAGGGTGAAAACTGGCAGCGATCACCGAATGGTTAGAGGCACACTGAACCTAAACGTTACGTTGGAGAGGTCTCGTCTAAAGAAGTCAACGATCCGTCCCCCTCGTGCTCTAATCCAGAATCCCGAAACCTTTCAGCTTGAGGTACGTAACCGCTTTCAGTGCCTAGAAGATTACAATGCAGTGGACGATATGAATGACAAGCTCGTGGAAACTGTCCATGCGGTCGGAGCTAAGTTTTGCAATACCCGCCGCAGAAGAACACAAAAACTCTCCGATCACACTCTTAATCTCATGGCTGTTAGACGGGAGATGAGGCTGCAATCGTCAACAGATTTGACAGCATACAGGCAACTGAACAGAAAGATCTCCAAATGCATGCGGCGAGACTTACGCAACTTAATACTGTTCGTATTAAAGAAGCGATCGAGCGGAACCAGGGCTCCAAAGTCTTTACCAGAGATCTGTCTGCCAGAAAGAGCCAACTGTCAAAGCTGAAGACTGAATGTAGCAGCATCGTTTCCGGGACAACCGAGATTTTAAGTGAGATTGAGAGGTTCTATGGGCATCTGTACACATCATCGTTGGAGCCACACGCAAGTGTGAGTAACGATCCAAGAGCAAGTCTTATCCGACACTATTCCAAAGATATCCCGGACGTCAGTCTGAGCGAGTTTAGAATGACTCTCCAGCACTTTAAAAACGGCAGGGTCCCAGGCGTGGTTGGAATTACAGCGGAGCTTCTGAAAGCGGGTGGAACACCGGTACTTGAAGTCCTTCAGAAGCTCTTCAATTCCGTTCTTTAAGAAAGGCGACAACGCTCTCTTGAAGAACTACAGACCGATTTCCCTTCTGAGCCGCGTCTACATGCTGTTTTCGAGAGTCATTACGAATCGTCTCGCACGCAGACTCGACGACTTCCAGCCTCCCGAACAAGCCGGTTTCCGAAAAGGCTTCAGTACCATAGACCACATACATATCCTGCGGCAGATTGTGCGGAAGACTGAAGAGCCATCTGCCACTTTGCCTGGCATATGTGGACTATGAGAAAGCCTTTGATTCCGTCGAAATTTGGGCGTTGCTACAGTCCCTTCAGCGGTTCTAAGTTGACTGTCTGTATATCGAAGTGCTGCAGTGTTTGTATAGTAGGGCTACGATGGCTATCCAAGTGCAGAACCAGAGTTCGAAACCTATCCAACTGCAGAGAGTTCTAAGACAGGGTGACGTTATATACTCAAAACTCTTCACTGCTGCGTTGGAAGACGTTTTCAAGCTACTGGACTGGAAAGGATACGGTATTAACATCAATGGTGAGTACATCACTCACCTTCGATTTGCCGACGATATAGTCCTTATGGCAGAATTGCTGGAGGACCTTAGCACTATGCTCAATGACCTCAATGGTGTCTCCCAACGGATAGGTCTTATGATGAACATGGACAAAACAAAGATCATGTTTAATGCCCATGTCACACCTGTGCCTGTAGTTGTTGAGAGCACTAAGCTCGAAGTTGTTGACGAGTACGTTTATCTGGGACAAATAGTCAGACTAGGTAAGTCCAACTTCTACCGAGAGGTCAATCGACGGATTCAACTCGGCTGGGCAGCGTTCGGGAAATTACGACACATCTTCTCGTCAGGTATACCTCAATTTCTAAAGTCTAAAGTGTACAACCAGTGCGTGTTGCCAGTGATGACTTACTTTACGGATCTGAGACGTGGTCCTTCACTGCTGGCCGTATGAGGACGCTTAAGGTCGCTCAGCGAGCTATGGAGAGGGCTATGCTCGGAGTTTCTCAAGGAGATTCAGAAATGAGGATATCCGCAGTAAAACCAGAGTGACCGACATAGCCCAACGGATTAGTAAGCTGAAGTGGCAATGGGCCGGCCATATAGCTTGAAGAACCGATAACCGATGGGGAAGAAAGGTTCTCGAGTGGCAGCCTCGTACAGGTAGGCGTAGTGTAGGGCGACCCCCCACTAGATGGAGGGACGACCTGGTAAGACATGCAGGAAGTCGATGGATGCAGGTGGCTCAGGACCGTGCTTTGTGGCATTGCTTGGGGGAGGCCTATGTTCAGCAGTGGACTTGTGAAGGGCTGTAATGATGATGATGATGATTATTATATATATATCATATGTAACTATCTACTGATTTATTTTATTTTAATTTATTGTTTTATTTTATATAATGTTCGTAACATTTTGTATATTATTTATTAATTAGTAGTAGTAATGTGTGCACTAAGTTTGCCATTTAAATATAATTTCCTTTATGGGCCTACTGGAAGATATTTCAGCAAATTATGGAATAAGTGGAACCTTTGTACAAACTTACGACAAGATACAGCTTCTGTATCTTGATGTGTGTACGTAAATAAATTAAAAAAAAAGATCTGAGGCAGCATAAAAAGACAAAATTACAGAATTACGAACCGTGCATTTTAAAGGACAAAACTAAGCCTACGTCATCAGTTCTGTGTTTAACCTACGGAGGGTCCATCGGGCAGCCAACTCTCGACTCAACTCTTTTTACTTGTCAAGTTAGTAAACTCAAAGCGCGCCTTCTTTCGCGGCCACCTGTGCAACGGAACCTCCCGAATTTGATAGTTTGGCCACGATCGCGCTTCTATCTTATTTCGGACCACGATCACAACGTAAAATTAACTGAAATTTATCTGCGCAAGAGTTATTAACGTAAAATCACTCAGGACTTTGTCTTATTAACCCAGACTTGCTCAACGTTATGGCCTATTCTTTTGCAATAAGATCGCTGGAATGCCAAGACTCGAATGCTAAAGCCCAAGTCATGTTGAACCATTGTTCGTTGCTACGTGAAAGAAAGACTAACCAAATAAACGCACTTGCGTATTTTTTAATATTAGGTATTAAGTTTACACAATGGTATATATTTAAATCATTATAACTTTTAAATTGAATTAATGAACATGTTTCGGTTACATCGCGCTATAATTATGTTAAGTATTTGTAAATAAATTAGGTTTAACAAATTCTAATTGTGCTTGTTATGTCAATATGTGATGAATGATGATTGAAATTGATCTGCCGGCTTACCTCTGACAGAATCGAGTTTAAAATCAATATATTTTATTCGAACTTATTTAAATTTCGAATTTCGGTTGTTCAAATTGGAATTGTCAGAACGAAAGCCTTCAGCTGTCTGTTGCTAGATGGCGTCCGTAACCACATGCGACAGGAGCGCCTTTTCTTTTTTTTTTTTTTTGCGCCCGAAGCAATTAAAGGGCTACCCTATACGTAGGGAGGCGGAAAATGCATTACGCATACCATGATAGCCGGTCTATCGTGGTTATGAGGGGCTCACTGTCCTACCGGGGACCCTAAGTGATACCCTCTAAAAACCGCCTTTGGGGACAGGCAACCGGCTGATTAAGCTCTATTGTGCCTTATCATGAGCGACCCTCTTTTGGGAAAAGAGGGCGCAGGCGGCTAAGTGCCGCTGAGGGAGTGCCTACGAAGGCAAATTAATGTTAGATATTACAATAATTTTATTTAATTAGAGTTGGCCTGAGCCGCCAGGAGACAGTTCAGGTCGTTTGAAAGTTTATTAGGCGGGTCCGAGAGAGAGTTTCTCGGCCTGCGGACACGATAGCGAGAGGGGGGTGGGGCTGCATAAGAGGCTACCTCACGAATTAAATGGTTTGGGTGCGACTCTGAGGCTTTGAAGAAGTTCTCAGAGAGTTTTTTAAAAAATTGTTGAATTGTTGGGAGCTCTAAGTCCCGATGAAGGTCGGCATTACGGACGTACCACGGTGCGTTCGCAGCTCGACGACAGAAGAGGTTCTGAACTATTTGGAGTTCATTTAAAATGTTAGGGTTTGCGTGGGCAAAGACGGGGCCCGCGTAGGACATGACTGGTCGTATACATACCTTGTAGAGGGTACGCTTGTTTCGAAGGGACATTTTACTGTGTCGGCCCAACATACTGTTGAGCCTACTCAGATAAAACCGTGCGTGACGGGTTACTCTTTTGACGTGGGGCTTGAAAGTGAGCCCTGTGTCTAGAGTGACACCTAAATATTTGGCGGACGTATGCCAGGGGACAGGGGTCCCTAGCATACGTATTGGTGGAGTGTTTTTGAGACGGCGTCGTTTATAATCGAAGTGGACGGCGGAGCTCTTCTCCGGGTTTACATCGATGCGCCTTTCCTTGATTAGTTTGTCCTATATAGAAAAAAATATTAAGGAAGTAAATTTGTATACTCCTTCATGTGCTTAGCGAAGAGGAAAACATCGTGATGAAACCTGCATATCTGGGGAACTGTAAAAATAATATTCGAAGACGTGCGAAGCCCACCAACACGCACTGGGGCAGCGGCACCGTACATTTCCGTAACGTAAATCCCCTCAAAAATTAAAGGAGTGGAATGTTTTTAGGCTGTAACTGAACTTTACTTTTTACCTTAAAATTTCCTTCTTTTAGTTTGGGAAACGTCGAGCCTACGAACTGGGAAAATTCATACGAAGTAGATATAACAATTACCTTTCGCCTAAATATAACCACTCAGAAATCTACATCCGGTCTACCGACTCCACACGTACTAAGATGACGGTGTTAGTGGCGATGGCAGCTGTATATCACCCTGATGGATTTGGCTGGAGTGAAGATATCAACTGGGTTCCAGTACCGTACACCACTATACCATTGCGTTATGACTTCGTAAGTTACATATATTTATTCACGTAATTAACAATGTAAAGCTGTTGCTCAGGTACATTTGCAGCAGTATTTTTTATAGAATAAGGGTGACAACGCACACAGTGAAGCTATAACTCATAACATTTATCCTCGACTAAGAATCAAATGCATCGACCGTTTACGCTGGGTATACTGTGAGTTGTCGTTCCAATTTTTTACCACATCACAAGTGACAATGTTTAGGCAAACAATTTTGACCATGCATTGGTATGCAATCAGCCCCACCCCTGTCATCTTACCAATCCATTACAGCCTATCAAAAATCAACAGCTGAACAAGGACCTTCCAATAAACTGCCTTTTAGGGAAATATATACAATAGTCGCCACGCTTGACTGACGGGTTTGTAAGCGAAGTTTTTATTTTTGTTATTATTAAGAAGACGTTGCTTCCCATCTCCCGGTTTGTTTCCGTGTCGCCTCTAATGACACCCGCGATACGATATCGGATAGTAGATATTTTTACACTGCCACTAGACGGTCAAGCTATACCGTGATGCATTTTAATTATTCGACAGGAATCCAATGCTACGTAGTTGGTGTTTTCATTTCTTTAATGATATATTTTCATAAAAATATTTTTTAGCTCATGGGCTTTAACTGCCCAAGCTTCGAAAAACATTTTGATAATTTTGCAAATACTTATGTACCTGAAATGGCGAAATATAGTGACGTGCTGGATCGACTTTCCTCAGCGCTGAAATATGACATCATACAAAGAAATCCAGTTAAAATATTCTCCACATATGACGTGATCGTAAGTCAGGTAAGAACTCTAAGTGATCAACTTAACTCATAGATCTGTTATTTAGATATACGTACTCATTTAGACATTTTTTATAGAAAAAGGATGACAACCTAGCACACAGTCCACCTGATTGTTAGTGCATGTTGTGGCCATAGACAACTTCTATCTTTGATTAAGCATCAAAATTGAAATGTGTTGTCCCCCTGAGGACTGAAATTAATGGTGGTTAATATAGCGCATAGTGCCATATTATAGTGTTAACGTAAAGTCATTCATTCATTATATATGTGATAGGTACGAGCCGTGGTAGCTCAGTGGTTAACGCTCGCTGTAAATATAACAGAACGCGAGTAACCCGGGTTCGATCCCCGCCGGCACCAATGAAATTGTTAATTGCAATTTTAAGTGCTGATTTACCACGTGCTCGGCGGTGAAGGAAAACATCGTGAGGAAACCTGCATGTCTGAGGAATAAGAAAAAAAAAATATTTCGAAGACATGTGAAGTTCGTCAACACGCATTTGGGCAGCGCGGCGGACACTTCCTTGCCCTAAACCCTCTCAGAAATGAGGGGAGGCCTGAGCCCAGCAGTGGGACGTATACAGGCTGTAACTTTACTTACTTTACTTTAATACGTGGTAGAGCCGTGATGCGGTTATATTAGTATTATAGTTGTAGCACAAATGGGTCGACTCGACCGGGGAAGGACCACGCTCTCACAGAATACCAGCGTAAAATAGTAGCTTAATGCTGCTGTATTTCGTATGGTGAGTGTAGAGAACTGGAAACCATTTTTACTACAAACGAGGCATTCCATCTTAGTTCTCACGGGTGACAACGCATCTGCATTTTGATTCGTAATTGAGGATAGATGTAGATGTCTATGGGCCACAGACCACATCCTATAAAAAATAAATAAAGTTAATGTTATATAATGCACTTGCGGAGTAGCACGTTCAATATGGGCTGTGTAGCTACGGCTGAAATTACAAAACATATCTTGACCAGATCCATAATTTACTAGTAAGTATACTTAAGATTATAGCTCTAAATAAAATAAAAAATTAATTCCAGGATGACGTCAGTAGTCTTTTCAAACATTGTAAAATCTTAATATATGTATATACAAGTACATAAGATTTTACTAAAAGAGCAATCTTTAATGAATCGCTAAAAATCTCGATTGATTTCTAGGAACCGTCATAGCGAGTACCTACAATGAGCGAACACTTAGCTATTTAATACGTCGGCTTATCAATAACTTGATGCGGGTTACATCTGTTCATCGATTGTAGTGGCTACTATCAGATACAGTCTTAAGCTGTTATTTGATGCTGAAATTCTGTGAGAGCATTATCCTTCCCCGGTTAAGTCTAGCATGCAACATCCATAACATAGCCGCAGCGTGACTCTACCATGTACAAACTAAAGTTGTTCAAAACGACTATAAATCAATAGCTATTAAATACGCTATGTTATAGCGCGCTATTTATAAGAAAGTGTGTAGGACTAGGAGGCCGGCAAGCGCGTTTAGTTTAGCAGCACGCTATATCTCGGAGCACGCTATATTACGTGTCGTTCATTGGATAGACCGCGTGCTATATAAGAATATTATTTCGTAATAAGTCGCATTTTAGATTAAAATAAAATATAGTGGTAAAGAGAAATCAATAAACGCTCTTTCATACTTTTCAGGATTACTTTCTATAATCCCAAAAATATTTTTAAGGCTTCTAAAAAACAAAATAAAATTAATCATTTTTTTATTATAATTGACGTAAACGTTATTTTAATCTCAATTAAAGGTGTAGTTTAAATGTTTGTTGATTGTATATACAAAAATCAACTATTTACAAACAATATTATATACACTTTTGTATCTATATTTTATTTACATTTAAAAACATTAGTTAGGCTTCTTTTGTAGCAGACAACTGTGTCCTTCGATCATGCGTCACACGTCTACTCCCAATAGCGTTGCTGCTAGAACTAATTGCCACTTGATATGAATAGCGCCAAAGCGTCATAGCGTCATAGCGCCATGGCGACTACTTACATAGCACGCGCTATGCGTTATGGAGAGATAGCGCGCTATAATATGGCGCTATGCGCTATATTAACTACCATTAGTACAAACATACATGGTGTCACGTCGTAGCTACTCGGATCACGTTAAGCCAAAAAAATAAATGTTTTCTTTTACAAAACGAAAGTAACAAACAAACTTAACTATAAAAAAAAACTTACAATCCATCTTATATTAAGCGTCCATGAACATCTGCAGCCAACTACAAACAAAGAAAGGTACGGACGCGTTGTCACCTCTGAGGACTAAGATGGAATGCCTTACAGCTAATTATACTTACTCTACATCTATTCAGGACGGTACACTGTATCCACTGTTTAATAAATGATTAAAATTCAAAAAGGAAAAACCTCTGCGATGGTTGACATCGATGAGCCTTCTGGATGACAGGCGTGATAGTTTATGTGTATCAACAGTTTTATTACAAATTACCAATTTTTAATAGTACCAATATTATTTCAGACTAATATTGGCCTTCATCCATCACCATCAATACAAAAAATGATGCCGGATATAAAAGAGGCGGCTGATAAAGCGTTTGATTTATTATTTGGTAACGATACCATGCTGCCATTACAATCTGGTAAGTAAACAAAGATTGAGACAATGATGACGCTACGTAAAGCTGAGCTCTTTACCATGCCGCATTTGAACATAGGCCTCCTCATTTAAACAATATATTAATAACTTGGAAGCATTTCAAACTAAGAGACTGTTCAATGAGCTCGTAGAATGTAAATCTGTTAAACCGTTGCAACCCTACACAACAATAGATTTGACTGATGATTCGGCCATATCATGAATAGCAGAAAAGATTACTGGCACGTATTAAAAAAAAAAACAAGTATTAAAAAATATATAAAAATCAATAAATATATTAGGGAAGTAAAAAGTTTGTTAAAACTAAAATGAATACAAACAATTACATAAATTTATGTAAGGAAAGCAAGAGTTTTTAGCTAACTTATAAAATAAAATATTCAATTGAAGTGGAATAACATGAAAAATTGTTATGAAATTGAATAGAGTGTCTTAATTCAGAAATTTTATCACTACTAACCTCATTGCAAATATTTAATTAAAATAAATTTATATGTACATTAAAGTAAATTACAGCAATTATTATATACGTAACATTAAATTAAAATAATAATTAAAATATAATATTTACAATTAATACTATTATACACAAAGACCCTTTATACTGGAAACGAGGCATGCCATCTTGACCCTCACGGGTGTCAACGCATCTGCATTTTGATTTGTAATCGAGGATAGATGTGGATGTCTATGGATCACAGCAACCACTTACCATCAGGTGGACTGTGTGCTCGTTTGTCACCCTATTCTATAAAAAATACACAATATAAAAAAGAAATTACAATATAGAAAAACTAACACTAAAAATATATATAGTCAAAATGTCCTGCTCCCCATGGTATGTGGTATGAACGCCGCGCCAAGAACGCTGGCTGCGTTTCCTCGCTGAATAGCTATACTTAGCCTTTGAGCGAGGAACGAACCAGCCCTCTTATCACTAGCAGCGACGACCAGTACTAGTTTATTACAAATTATGTCAAATAAATATAAATTAGCAGACAATGATATAAAAGAACACATTTTTTTTTTTTTTTTTTTTTTAAACTCCTGGGGTCTTTTTTTTTTTTTTTTACCGGCCATGGATAATCTGGTGAAGTCATCTAAAAATATCGAGGAACGTTTTGACTCCTTATACCTTTTGAGTGCCAAAGTCGCCTATACTTGACCAACACCTGCGGGCCCTGAGCGCAAACGACGTCTATAGTTGACAAAAAACCCGGCCAAAAAAAATATGAAATATAGATATTGGGAAATTATTACTGGTATTTTAATTCTACACTCCTCAAAAAAGAATAACCCAGGAACATGTGAGTATAAAAAACAAGTCTCCTAGAGCCACAAGTACTAAGAAACATTGAACTAAAAAAAATGGATGGAAATTCGTCTATGTTTGTTGTAATGCGTTAGGCATAGATTTATTGAAAACTATTCAAAATTAAACGCAAACGTGTTATTTTTTAAATTATTATTGATATTTGAATAAAACAAAAGGTAAGAAACATAAAACTATCATTAGCTACATAAATAAAAGAAAATTTCATCAAATCAATTTCGTATAATAAATCTTATATCTCAACTCTGGCGCATCCTTAGCGCGTAATCATTATCAGTTCATTGGCCGCCGTGGTCAAGGATAGACGACACCCTGATGACGTCATAATCGAATAGCGGAAAAAGTAGTGCAGTGCAACATGAACGATTCCTCAGAACTCATTCGCATTTTGGAAAGCGTCGATGATGATGATTTTTTTTATTTTAATAATATAAAATTACAAATAATAAATGTTAATTTTTTTCTTGAGGTATGAAGAGCAATTTTTCATTTTGTGTTGTGCGATTTTCTTTCTCAATCTCAAAATCGTCTGGTAGCATCAGCATCATATCAAACCCCCATCTTATGAGCGTAAGACTTTTCTTCTGTGCTTCACTTGGCCTACGCCTCCCCCGACAGATAAAATATTTTGAGTCGATCTCTGTATATTTTGGTTAGATCGATTTCGAAATCGATACATAACGTGCGACACGGCTACATCTCTAAGAAAGTTTCAAAAAGGAAATTAAGCTACGCCGTTGTCGTCCAGTCGTGACAGTGACGTAATCACGATGAAGAGTAGTGCTATGGTTTACTACTATTTTATTGTTATTGTTAATTTTTTATTTATGTACAAAGTACGTATATAAAAACAGTGGAAGAGAGATAAGAAGACATGATTTGTTTGATAAGCAGAATCAAGTTATTTTGTGTTATCGATATATCAACTCTTGGCAACACTATTTTTTTCGTAGGTATTTTTGTTTACTTTTCACTTTGGCGTACAGGACACGGTAATGCGTTTTTGGCGTGGCGCTCAAAAGTTAAAATATCTAAATTAATATCACCGCTCTATGCCAGACTCTTCAGGGACAGTGTGTGTTAATAATATTACAAGCAGTAATACCTCATTTTCTCTATGACAGTTCTTTTGGCCCGATTCGGGATTTCATCCTAGGACCTCATAATCAGCAGTCGAGCTTACAACCACTAGACCAACAAGGTAGACAAATACCCTCTCAATGGTAAAATATATGGGGCATCCCTATGTTCAGTGGTGACCTTATGATGAGATGTAATGAATGAATGTATGAATAAATAAAAACATTAAAATATTTAAAATCTCCAGGTTTACTTTTAAGAGAATTCTTCGAAGTAACCGCATTAGCAACTGCTGGAAAGTCCACTCAAAAAGTGAGGATTTACTCCGCACACGACAACAATGTTTACGCTTTCGCGGCGATATCCAAGGCAATACCAAGACAGGGCATACCGCCTTATGCTGCATTATTTGCTCTGGAATTAAGGAGAGTGATGGAAACGGGAAATTATGTCGTTTTAGTAAGTGTTTTGTTGGGAATATCTACATATACAGAATGGGTCCCACATATATGCAATAAATGAAACCACAAGTAATACTAGTCCGTAGAAGTGTAGAAAAATTAAATATTAAATTAAAACCCGTAAAATAAAAAAGTGAAATTTTCAAACAAAATAAATATTAAAATAAATTCAGTAAAAGTGAACACTCTGTTTAGACAACGTACCTTGACCCCTTGGAAGAGTGACAACGTTGCACGCGGGTGGCACGCCGACAAAAGACACCACTGTCGATATGTCGCAATACCAATAGGTTGCACTGCGTGGCAACGTCGCTTTTTAATGTTCAAGAATTCAAGTTCATTGAGTCATTGACTTAGTGACCCAATTCTATAGAGTGTTCAAATTTGCTTAAAATTAAAACTCTACTTTTTGACCTAATTACTGCACCGATTACGTTCATTTTTTGTATATCGTCAGCAAAGGCGATAACAAGTATATGGTTTCATTTATTGCATATATGTGGGACCCATTCTGTATACTCTGCACTGAATTTTTAGAAGCAGGGCTAAACGGTGACTTTTATTCTTCAATCAATGATTATACTAGATTAAGGATCAGGAACAAAAATAAGTCGCTCTAGTGGCCACGTTTGCACACACGTAAACATCTATATTTCTTATTATAAAATATAGAAAAAAGATTAAAAATATTAACAACTTCAGTTTATTATAAACCTTATCAGATTATCACTCAAAAATAAAGTTTAAATACCATTGCAAAATATGTTTATTTAAGTTATGGCATCCGACAAAGACACCGCTTGAATATAAAAAGTCATAAGTACACAAATATTTATTCTAAAATGAAACTTAAAGTCTAAGTGATATGGTTAAAAATATTATGTTAACAATTTCGTGCTTACTCTATTTTATTCTTGGTATTACATTTCAATGTTCATTAAAATAGCTATGATTGGACCATACTAATTTGAAATAAGACCACAAAAGTATTTGTGGTCTTATTTTTTGGGCCGTTTTTGAAGCGCTTATCGGGAATCTAGTACCTAGTATTATTGATCGAAGCTTTTATTATTAATGATTGTATTTTTATGTGGAATTGCATTATTGTTGGATTATATTGGAATATTTGGATGTGGAATTGAACCACCCCTGTCGCTCGAAGACAAGTACCGACCACTGAAGTAGAAGAAAGGTTTTCGAGTGGCAGCCTCGTCACGTTAAGCGAAGTGTAGGGCGTCCTTCCACGAGATAAAATATGACATGCAGGAAATCGATGGTGATAGGTATCTTAGGAACGTACTATGTGGTATTCCTTGGGTAAGCCTATATTCAGCAGTCAACTTGTTAAGCGCAGTAATGATGATGATTCTTATATGTAAATAAACTATTTTAATAAAGAAAGACTGAAATCATTGTAAGTAAAACTAAACAAATCTATATATTTTATTATGTTTTATTTAACAAAAATGTATTGTACATTTTTGTTAAAATCAATCTGTTAACTTGCTAAAGCAGTTCACGTTCATTGCAGCGAAGTTTCTTGGAGCAAGATTTTCTGCTAACCGTACTATCCTCGAGGGATCTAAATGCATTGTTCTTGTTAACGAAAAAGAACAACAGAGTAATGTCAAAATTGCATTCACTGAGGGGAAATCAGCTTGCAAACTTCACAAATTATTGCTTGAATTTAAAGTAGAGAGTGACGAACTTTTGGACCTAAATCTTTACATTTATAATTGTTATTGCGGCTGTTATTTTTTTACATATTATGAATCAAAATGTAGATGCACTGTCACCCCTGAGGATTGGAGAATACCTCGTTTCCAGTAACATGGGCCTCCGGTTTTTTTTATACTCACCATACAAAGCACAGCATCATTAAGCCGCTATTTTACGCTGGTATTCTGTGAGAGCGTAGTAATTCCCCAGCCGAACCGACCTATTCGTTCAACAAACGTACTGCAGCAAGGCTCTAAGTCTAACACGTGTAATTTGTATAACTTCTAAATGCTTTGACGCATGAAAGTCTTAATCACATATTTATATTTCGTTTTGCCGAAACGAAATATAAATTGAACTATGTACCATACATAGTTATGCAAGAATCAGATAAATGGCTAGCAAATTTTCTGGACCGATACATCTTAATGACCTTCAAAAACCGATCTTACTCCTTTCTAAAAGGCCGGCAACGCACGTGCGATTCCCGTGGTGTTGAAGTTGTTCATAAGCGACGTTACTCACTATCAAGTGAGCCGCATGCTTGTTTGCCCTTATTGAAACATAAACATTCCTCGTAAAGAAGGTAAATACACCGAAAGACATTTTTGAAGAGATGTCATCGGTTCTTCAGGACTCTGCGCCTATATATATGATGGTAAAAAATGGGTCCGCATATTTTAACAAGGACGAGAGAGCTGTGAAGACGACCCTCGCCCGGGCCGTCACGGTACTGACCGAAGAAAACGCCCAAAAAGTCGAAAAAATCGTTACGGCCGACTGAAGAATTAAATTGTGGCCGATTTCTGATGAACTGCAGCTCATCAGAAATCGGCCACAATGCGCGCTGGTACCGAAAATGCTCAAACTGCTGAACAAGCAACGTCACATCATTACAGCCCTTCACAAGTCCACTGCTGAACATAGGCCTCCCCCAAGTAATGCCACAAAGCACGGTCCTGAGCCACCTGCATCCATCGACTTCCTGCATGTCTTACCAGGTCGTCACTCCATCTAGTGGGGGGTCGCCCTACACTACGCCTACCGGTACGAGGCTGCCACTCGAGAACCTTTCTTCCCCATCGGTTATCGGTTCTTCGAGCTATATGGCCGGCCCATTGCCACTTCAGCTTACTAATCCGTTGGGCTATGTCGGTCACTCTGATTTTACTGCGGATATCCTCATTTCTGAGTCTATCACGCAGAGAAACTCCGAGCATAGCCCTCTCCATAGCTCGCTGAGCGACCTTAAGCGTCCTCATACGGCCAGCAGTGAAGGACCACGTCTCAGATCCGTAAGTCATCACTGGCAACACGCACTGGTTGTACAATCTAGTTTTTAGAGATTGAGGTATACCTGACGAAAAGATATGCCGTAATTTCCCGAACGCTGCCCAGCCGAGTTGAATCCGTCGATTGACCTCTCGGTCGAAGTTGGACTTACCTAGTCGGACTATTTGTCCCAGGTAAACGTATTCGTCAACAACTTCGAGCATAGTGCTCCCAACAACTACCGGCATAGGTGTGACATGGACATTGAACATGATCTTTATTTTGTCCATGTTCATCTTAAGACCTATCCGTTGGGAGGCACTATTGAGGTCATTGAGCATAGTGCTTAAGTCCTCCAGCGATTCTGCCATAAGGACTATATCGTCGGCAAATCGAAGGTGAGTGATGTACTCGCCATTGATGTCAATACCGTATCCTTTCCAGTCCAGTAGCTTGAAAACGTCTTCCAATGCAGCGGTGAAGAGTTTCGGGGATATAACGTCACCCTGTCTTACACCTCTCTGCAGTTGGATAGGTTTTGAGCTCTGGTTCTGTACTCGGATAGCCATCGTAGCCCTACTGTACAAACACTTCAGCACTTCGATATACCGACAGTCAACTTGGCACCGCTGAAGGGACTGTAGCACCGCCCAAATTTCGACGGAATCAAAGGCTTTCTCATAGTCCACATACGCCAGGCAAAGTGGCAGATTGTACTCTTCAGTCTTCTGTACAATCTGCCGCAGGGTATGTATGTGGTCTATGGTACTGAAGCCTTTTCGGCAACCGGCTTGTTCGGGAGGCTGGAAGTCGTCAAGTCGGCGTGCGAGACGATTCGTAATGACTCTCGAAAACAGCACGTAGACGCGGCTCAGAAGGGAAATCGGTCTGTAGTTCTTTAAGAGAGCGTTGTCGCCTTTCTTAAAGAACAAGACCACCGCACTTCTGCTCCACGCCTCTGGAGTAGTGCCACCATGGAGGACGGAATTGAAGAGCTTCTGAAGGACTTCAAGTACCGGTGTTCCACCCGCTTTCAGAAGCTCCGCTGTAATTCCATCCTCGCCTGGGGCCCTGCCGTTTTTAAGGTGCTGGAGAGCCATTCTAATCTCGCTTAGACTGACGTCCGGGATATCATCGGAATAGTGTCGGATAAGACTTGCTCTTGGATCGTTACTCACACTTGCGTGTGGCTCCAACGATGATGTGTACAGCTGCCCATAGAACCTCTCAATCTCACTCAAAATCTCAGGTGTCCCGGAAACGATGTTGCCACACTCAGTCTTCAGCCTTGACAGTTGGCTCTTTCTGGCAGACAGATCTCTGGCAAAGACTATGGAGCCCTGGTTCCGCTCGATCGCTTCTTTAATACGAGAAGTATTAAAGTTGCGTAAGTCTCGCCGTATGCATTTGGAGATCTGTCTGTTCAGTTGCCTGTATGCTGTCAAATCTGTTGACGATTGCAGCCTCATCTCCCGTCTAACAGCCATGAGATTAAGAGTGTGATCGGAGAGTTTTTGTGTTCTTCTGCGGCGGGTCTTGCAGAACTTAGCTCCGACCGCATGGACAGTTTCCACGAGCTTGTCATTCATATCGTCCACTGCATTGCAATCTTCTAGGCACTGGAAGCGGTTACGTAACTCGAGCTGAAAGGTTTCGGGATTCTGGATTAGAGCACGAGGGGGACGGAGCGTTGACTTCATTAGACGAGACTTCTCCAACTTAACGTTTAGGTTCAGTGTGCCTCTAACCATTCGGTGATCGCTGCCAGTTTTCACCCTTGCGATCACTGAGACATCACTGAACAGTTGGCGTCTGGTCGTCATAATGAAGTCAATCTCATTTTTTGTCGAACCGTCGGGGCTCGACCAGGTCCATTTCCCGTGGGGCCGCTTCTGGAAGAAAGAGTTCATCATAAAGAGTCCCTCTTTCTCCATAAAGTCGGCCAGCTGCTGGCCCCCTTCGGTTCCGTTGCCCTACTCCAAATTTCCCTACCTTCAGCTCACCGCTTTCTCTTGTGCCCAGTTTTGCGTTGAAGTCTCCCATCAACACCGTGTAGTAGGTTTTGGAGGAATGTATGGCTCTGGAAATATCCTCATACATTTCATCCACCTCCTCATCGGGATGTGCCGAGGTTGGTGCGTAAACCTGAATGACCTTCAGCGAATACCGTTTGGTGATTCTGAGTATCAGGTACGCGACCCTCGTCGACACACTCCCAATCTTTACAACGTTGTTGACGAGAGATTTGTGGACGATAAATCCGACACCTCCTTGGGACAGATGGTCGCCCTCCCGGTTATAGAACAAGTTGCCGGACTCGAGGATTGCCGTGTCCTCCCCCTCTCTTCGGACCTCGGATAATCCAATAATATGCCAGCGCAACTTGTCTACCTCTTCTTCCAGCTCCAGTATCTTCTCGTCAGTCCTCAGGGTGCGTGCGTTATATGTTGCCAGGTCGAGTCGTCGTAGGTGGCAACCGAACCTCCACCGGAGATTCTTAGCACCCCCTGCCCCGCCGTTACCATGGTCGCCACCGTAGCCAGGAATAGCGGGGCCGCCGGGGACTGGGGGCCGTCTGTTTGTGTATTTATTCATTGGGGGGTATTTGCCATAGTTGCCACGCTTGGCGAGCGGGTTGGCAACCGCAGTTTTTTATTACGTCACAGTTGTCATCAGGAAGACGCTGCTGCCCATCTCCTGCCTGTCTCCCTCTGTCGCCTCTTACGACACCCACGGGAAGATATGGGGTAGTGGATATTCTTAACCGCCACTACACGGCAACGTCACAAGGAATTTGGAAAGATTTTTCTGGACAACGAAATGAAAGCTGCGGTTGATCATCATTTTGAAGAGAGAGATACAGAATATTTTTGGGTGGGTTAAAAGCATTGTATGCAAGATGTGAGAAATGAATTTCATTTGAGGGAAATTATATTGAAAAATAAAAAATAGAAACTATATGTTTTCTTTCATTAGGTACCTTAAGCCGCGGACTTATCAGCTGCCCCTCGTACCTATTAAAAAAATTGCTTGTCTGTAAATTCGATTTACGGACGATAGTTTAACGTGACAACGTCATAACAAAACATTGATGAAATGATTGCATATTTTATGAATAAAATTTAATCACTTTTATTGAATTATCACTATTTTGTACGAATACAAAGGAGTCAAATGAAATCAACAATTTAATTGATTAGCCTTTCGCTCGTTCGTGCCGCCCTCTCGCTCCGATCGTAACGTAACAATGAGTGTAACGTTACAGTGAGTCTATCTTTTTCGTGCGTGCAGCCGGCGTTCATCGATTTATTAGACGTTGTCACGTCAAAAAAATACCAGGTTGAGTAACTAATTAAGTAGGTATTAGGTATTAGTAACATGCATAGATTACTGAGTAACATGTGTGTTGGTGTTTGTTTAATAAAATAAAGGTTCTTGCTTTCTTTGTTAATAATACTATTGTAATATTATCTTTGTAAGATTCTTATAAAGACGTATCGAAACATATAAAAACATTTTTTTCAGCCAATTTACGTGAAATCTCCTGGTGAACAAGTGCAGTACCTAGAGATTGAAGGATGCGGTGGACCGCTGTGCGACCTCAAGAAGTTCTACGCCATCACTTCGCCCTATCTGCTCGACGTTAACGAGTGGAAGAAAAGGTGTAACTATGATGAGAACGCTACATACGATACTCAAAGATACGATTGAGGTAGCGTTATACTTTCGAATTAATTATCTTTAAATAAAATTGTGACTGGCTTAAGTTGTTTATCTTATATTAATTAGCTTTAACTAAAATTGTGATCGACTTAAGTTATTCATCTCCTTGTTTTGTAATTAATTAGCTTTAATTAAAATTGTGATTGACTTGAGTTGTTTGTCTTCTTGCGTTATTTTATATTGTGTAGATTCGTTGTTTTCTTTGTGGGGAAGTGTATGTCGCAAAGGATGATGTTGCAAATGAATGCAGCGTTGGAATGAGGTTTTAGGCGCAGAAGGATGTCGAGTTGCTGACCGAGTTTGTCAGGAATGTGGCGTACAGCCTCTATTTTTATGGGTTATACGTAGGTATATTTTTTAAATATACTATTAAACATCAGAATGAGAGTCAACGCTCCATACCATGTTCATCCGTGACAAATGTGCAGATAGTAACTGTCTTAGTTCACCAACACTCTATGACGGTGCCATAACAAAGAATAAAAACTTAAAAAGTAGTTTAAATATTAAAAAAAACATAAAGTTATTATGTATTGTGATGACATAGGAAAACGTTTGGGCATGATGTTAAATAACAATTTAAAAGGACAACTGGTTAGTAATTATTGTATGCCTGGAGCATCCTTTAGTCATATAATGAATAAAGTTTTAACCAGTAAGTATTGTCCTAATAGCACATTAATAATTCTTGTTGGGAGAAGAGGCAATGTAAACAAAAATCAATTATTAAAATATATCGATTACCTCAATACCTTAAATGTACACAAAATAATCTTGTTTACATTGCCTTACATACAGGGTTGGCCACAGGAGAATAAAATAAGATATGATTTAAATTTATTAATGAATAATTTATCATGTAACAATAATTTAAATTTGACATTTAATTGTAACAATTATACCAGTAGAATTAATTTAATAGACATTAATAATTTAATTAAGAAATTATTCACTACAGATAGGTATTACCTATCCAAATATAATTTAAGACAGATAGCAAATGTGCTATCTTATTATTTATATATTAACTCAGCCAAGGACTTGGCTACCCAGACATCTGCTCCTATTGAGCAGCATAATGATTTGACATGTAGTTTGGAATCCGTTTCAAGTAATTTAAATTAGAAAATGAGACAGAGGTAATCTCTAGCAGTTATAATAATTTAAATAATTTAGAACATAGCTTACAAATCCTGAATAGTTGCAATTGTATAACTCCACAAAATGATAACAAAAATTGTTTACACCTGGTTCATCAGAATATACAAGGCATGATAGGCAAAGAACTAGAAATTGAATTGTTCTTAAAATAGCAACAATATTAATATTTTATGTATTACTGAACATTGGTTAAAAGCTCATAATTTAATGTTTAACTTCAGTAATCACCAGGTGGTGGTCAGTTCTTTCAATAGAGAAACGGCTTTAAGAGGTGGCTCCTTAATTTTAGCTAGTAAATTATTATCATGTAAAGAACGTAAAGATATTGGGAGCCTCTCCGTTGAGCGAACAGTAGAGATGGCATGTGTTGAGTTTGAGCACCTCATTGTTGTAAGTGTTTACAGACCCCCATGTTCTTTATATGACACTTTCAAAAAAATTATGGAGGAAGTTTTCGCTAAGCTTAATAAACAGAATAAATCTGTTGTAATATGTGGAGACTTTCATATCAATCTCCTAGAAGCTTCCTCCACCGAATATTAAATTTAGATCATTGTTTAAATCTCATGGTCTCTTTAATTTATTTTTGGAGCCAAAACGTATTGCTGAATCTAGTGCAACATGTATAGATAACATTTTTACAAATGTTAAGCCGTTCAATAAATGTATAATTCAAAAATTGAGCTCTGATCACTGTGGACTGAAATTAGTTTCATTACCTTATGTTCACAAAAAGCAAATAGATAAAAAAGTAGTGTTTGTTCCAGTAAATGCACATCGCTTGGAGAAGTTTAGAAGTAACATAGTAAAGAAACTTCCATTACTTTCATACCAAAATAATCCAAATTTTTTGTATGGAACATTATTTAAGCTTATTTGCAATAAATTTGATAATAATTTTACTTTTAAAACATTCTCCTTGGCCAATCGCAAGGCATTCAACGAATGGGTGACATTAGGAGGACATAAGAGTAGACAAAGGTTATGTGAAGTTTACAATGAAAGGTAATATAATCCTAGCGTCTAATTTAGGGAATATGTAAAAAAATATTCCAAAATATTTAAAAGAGTGTGCTCCTTAGCCAAGTCATTGTTGTATTTGAGCAACAAAATAAAGACTGCTTCTAATAAAATTAAAATGACATGGAGTATAATTAATAGTGAAACTGGTAAGGTCAACTCTCGCAATTCAAACTACCAGTTAAGTTTCAACAATAAATTAACTAAATCACATCAGGACGTTGCAATGGTTTTTGAGAAATATTTTACTGATATTCCGATCTTAACCACTAAGTCACTGAATTCTTCTCCTGCTGTCGCCGAATCATTACTTAAACAATAATGTAAATGTGTGTACAAAGAATTTTACATTTCATAAAGTGTCATCAAAAGATATTGTAATTGGTATATTAAGAGAACCGCCGATCTGTTGGGGATTTCTGTTAAAGTTATTGCGTCTATAATAGATGCGATCGCACCTCAACTATCTATTATTTTTAATACTAGTATTGAATCTGGTGTGTTTCCTGATTTAATGAAGCATAGTAAAGTAATACCTTTATTTAAATCTGGTAGTACATTGGACCCCGCTAATTTTAGACCTATTTCTGTACTGCCAACACTTAGTAAAATTTTTGAAAAAATTATTCTTGATCAAATGTTAAATTTTTTTAATGTAAATAATTTACTTCATAAAAATCAATTTGGTTTCACAAGGGGTCGCTCGACAACTGATGCTTGTGTTGAGCTGATTAAATATATATTTGATGCATGGGAGAATTCACAGGATGCTTTGGGTGTATTCTGTGACATATCCAAAGCCTTCGATTGTGTTCACCATGAAACGTTAATCAGGAAACTTCAACACTACGGTGTAAGAAGCGATGCTCTTAAATTAATTATTTCATATTTAAGTGACAGAACGCAAAAAGTTGTCATTAATAGTATGAGTTCTTCCGGGTCGATTGTACAAATGTTGAACAACCAGTGTTGAAATAGCTAGAATAGTTTACTTTAGTTATTTCCATAGCATTATGTCTTATGGTATTTTGCTATGGGGACACGCGACTGACACTGAAATTATATTTATTTTACAGAAGAAGGCCATTAGAGCAATATATAATTTAAAACCAAAAGAGTCACTGAGACACAAATTTAAGGAAATTAATATATTAACTCTGGCCTCTCAATACATTTATGAAAATGTAATGTACGTACACAAAAATAAAAGTTTTGCGAAAATAAGTGATATTCATTCTGTAAATACTAGGAACAGACACAAGCTGGTAGTACCAGTTACTCGACTCCACCGAGTCAGTAATTCATTCTTGGAGCGATGTATGCGCTTTTACAACAAAATCCCAGAAATACAAAATTTGTCATACACGAAGTTCAAAAATGTTATTAAACTAAGTTTGTATAAAAAGGGTTATTATAATATTAAGGAATTTATGGATGATAATAACCCCTGGGAAGGGTGATCGCTACCAAGCTATTTCTAATTTGTCTTGTGTTGTTTATTGTAAACATAATTGTAAGCTATTATTGGAAAAAAAATAGTCCCGCTGGGTTTCTTGCTGGTTCTTCCCAGGACAGAGGTTTTTTTTGCGAACCAGTGGTAAATGAAAAAATTGACTTTCAATAAGTATTGTTATAATCTACATTGAATAAAAAAGTTTCTGTTTCTGTTTCTGTTTCAAATAACTATAAGTATCTAGCTTTTCTTAGACTGCGTTATAAGATAAACAACACAAACGAGAGAAGAATAACTCATATCGATTGGTGGGTGTCGTAGGAGTCGATAAAAGGAAGCAAACCAGAAAATGGGCAGTACCATCTTCCTAATAACAACTAGCAAAAATACTGCGGCTTTTTTCGCCAGTTAATCGTGGCAACCAAGGCAAATATTCAACTTATGAAGAAATATAAGCACAGGCCTTTGTTCATCTGTGTACTTTGGTAGATATTATAGAGGTTTTATAGTATAGACGCATATCTCTAGCTTAAAAGTACATTTATTTTCTTTCTTCCTTTCTTTTTAAATATATCTTACATTGTGTCCGTGTAGAAATGGTGTATCTTCATTCGTTTCAAGAGCATCTCCTTACTTTCGTCTATTTGATCATTGTCACCAACTTAATCATATACCACCACCACGACATCACTGCAATAGGTAAAACTCACCACTGTCGATAATACGACATGTGTTTTTCCTCTACACTAAGCATCATCACGAAAATAGACTCTATGATGGCAAATTCCTAGATGAATTGCGGTTGGATGAAAAGAGTAGACATGAGAAGCAATAGGTGTAATTTAATTTAATCTAATACCTTTAAACGAGCAATTCTTGTATATATATATATATATATATATATGAGCTATTTCTATGAGATCTAGCTATGATTAATTTTTATAAAATGTCGTTATATCCATGTTTTTAGGCAATGAAAAACTGCAACAATATCATTAGAATACAAAGGTAAATTTTGCCGGTGCTTAAAAGGCTATGACAGCTCATATGGGATATCGGGAGATCTCGAAACAATAGGACGCCGGTTCGAGTACAGATGTCTTCGAACCGACATTTTTTCCTTTTTTTCAAGTTCCTTTTTTATGAGAAAATATATTATTTGGAGCTCTTTTTTAGTATATTTTTTTTAAAAACACGAAAAAATGACCTGTCCAAATTCTTTTTCATATTTCATCAGGATGTAATTTGTATCTAAATATAATTTCCAAGAAACACAATTTCAAAAAAAAATACCGAGCATAGCTCGGTCGTCCAGGTACCAAAATTTAAATGACAAATTAACTAACAAGTCACA